AAAAAAAAAAAAAAAAAAAGTTTAACTAGCAAACAATCCCACCACATTCTATATACTTATGTGAAGTGTTGTACATTGTCAGATCTCAAGAGAATGTATCAAGTCATCATTCACAACTGATTAGACAGAACAGCAAGCAAACATACAAAAAGTAGCATCACTCATTCGATAGGCCCAAGTAAAACTACGGCACAAATTATGTGCAAATATTAAAATATGAATGACAATTACCACTTTGAAATGAAACAAACAGAATTACAACTAACATACTTTAGGAGGTTTGAAGGGGTAGTCTGTTGGGAAATGAATAGTCAAGAAAAATACACCGCCTTGATATGGACTGTCATTCTATGAAAAGAAACAAATACACTATTAAAAACAAGAAAACTACTTTTTTTTTAATGTATATAGTAGTGACACAGAAAAGGCAATTTCAACTTACAAATATAAGAGGAATAAAACTAAAAAAAACATGAACCTGTGCTTTGACCATGCAAGGCAAAGCAATAGGCTCACTTACCTGGCATCCTCTCTGCTAAACACTCACCTTCCTTTGTTCCCTAGACGTCAGGCATCAAAAGAACTACCTTGAACATCTCAGTATGTGAGGGAGTATGCGATTCACTCTTTTCACCCATTTTAACAGAGCTATTGTTTGGCTTGATAGTCAGCCATGTCCTTGAGGTGGGGGGTGTGGAGAGAGTTCTCAGACCTGTGCTTTTCCCATGCTGGTTGTTACTTGAAGCTTAAAAAGGTGCCATTTCTACAATTTTATGTATTTAAAAAAACAAATTGACCATCAGAAAGCATCAGGTTTTGAAAAAGCCTACAGACAGCTTCTGACCGTGCGACCAGGACTACCTACTTCTGCATTTAGCTTTAGTGGGCAGCATGTGAAAATGCAGCATGAAAAAGAACAGCTTGCATATTTATGAAGAAGAAAGCATGACCGTAAAGGGATCTCAAAGTCCATTGAGGGACACAGTCTTGTACTGTTGGGACATCCAAAAGCAGTGCCTAACTGAGAAGCAGCCAACAGTATCAACTGGGTCACCCTAAGAGCTTGAGGGGGTGGATGTTATGCTGTGTAGGGATGCACCGATATATCAGACGAAAATGGCACTTTTGGCTAAATGCCATTTTCCTGCCAATACATCGGCGCATCCCTGATTTCTTACCTCCCCGCTGGGCGCTGCTCTGTGTCCCAGCGGGGAGGAGAGAAAGTGACAGCCGGCCGAGCGCTGTGAGCGGCCGGTGTCTCTCCTCCCACACCGCTCAGCCGAGTATCACAGTCCGGCAGAACGGCGTGGGGGCGGAGATAGCCCGTCCTGTCACAGGACAGCTGTCAGAGAGGAGAGCGGTACAAACACTCAGCGATCACAGATCGCTGAGTGTTTGAGGATATAGTCAACATACCATGTCAAATATCTACAATTATGAATGAATGGGGAGTGATCAGCATCACCTCCTGGTCATTCATGATTGTGGTTATAGTAAACATACCATCTCCAAGTTATCAATGAACAGGAACACTCAGGAGGATTCCTGTTCATTGATAACAGGGGATACAGAAAAAAAAAAAAAAAAAAGGACTTTGTGTTCTCAATCTTTTTCTATTTTAAAAAGGGAAATGTCAGGGATCTGTGTAGACCCCTAATATTTCCCTGAAGCCACTAAAAGTAAAAAAAATAAAATTTAATAAAAAAATAAAAAGTATTAAATGTAAAAAGTTTATCAAAATAAAATTAAACATTTGAAAAAATTAACAGTTTCGGTCTGACAATTGCTTTTAAAATTCTATTTCGGTGCACCTCTAATGCTGGGCATGCTTTTTTTCGCTAGTATCCAATCTTTCTGAAGGTGGCAGTATAAAACGTCCTGTGTCCCCCAATTGATGAGAATCTTTTTAAATCTGGCATTGATGAGAATCTTTTTAAATCTGGCATTACAGAATGTGGTCAACATTTTAAAAGGTGCAGAATCCATTTATCAGACTTCTCTTCTGACAATGGTTTATTAGCTTGTGCTTGAACACACACAAATCATAGGACATTTGACAGTACCCAAGAAAAATATCAGACAACTGTTCTCTATGGTTGACCTTACTGTCACATGTAAATGGCTAAGCTTCGATCATACTTCAAACCATGCAAGAATTTCATTTGATTTTGGTCATTTAAATAATCAGTCTTTCAATCATTTAAATACTCACGGGTCCCATAATTGTTGCTTGCCAGTGAAACACTAAAAATAAAGAAAACACAAGGTAAGCCACTAGTCGTTAACATGAGCGCATGGAGCCCATAATTGTGTCGCCCCACTGCAAGGGTTAATGTTTAGTATGCCCAGAGTTCTTTAAACAAATACATAAGTGCTTCAATCTCATAGAATACATAAACTAAAACAAAGTACTGAAAAAAATATAAATTGGCATAAAAATGTGAAGTCAAATAATTTTGGACTTTTCATTCACGGCTTATGTATCTTTATGCAGACTTCCTCTTGTGGATACACCCAGGTAAAACAGCAATCCACCACATAAGCAAAAAACACTTACCAGAGCTGTGGTGCACCTGAAAAAGTATTTGCGACAAAACTTGTGGGACATGGCCACACAGAATAGGCAATTACATCAGATCCCTTTTGATGGAAGATCGAGCTGGCCATCTGCATGCCGAAAGTGAGCTTTTCTCAGGCAGCGCCAACCATGCTACTTTGAAGACCTTTTATTGGGAGTCTTTATACCTTATACAATACACATGATAGTTTGTGCATATACTGAAAGTGAATTTGCCATTTGTAACCTGTGGTTTGAATAAACAGTTATGCTGTGGGATTATCTGCTTGTGTGTGACCCCTGCATTGTGAAAATCAGCTGACGGGAGATAAATCCCTGAATGTGACAGACATTTCACCTGGTATATCAATTATTGGATTTTTGACTCACAAAGTCCAAAAGTTCTGGTAAATCAGGTAGTGGATTGCCGTTTCACCTGAGTATATGCACATGAAATGGTATGCAAGTCGTCATAAAATACATTTTTGACTTTTTTCATCACCATATCAGATTTTGGACTGATGTCTAGTTATATGCAGGTACCTTCAGGTGACAGAACACAGACAACCATTTAGAGCTGTGAAACAGCCACCATAACCACTTTCCCAGCAACGCAGAAAACAAAACAGGCCTAAAGAACAAGGGTCAAGTACCTCAACTCAAAGCAGCCTGAAGCACCTTCGGCCAAAGCTGGCATCAGAGGAATGAACATCCACCCTGGTAAAACTTGGCAACAGTGTGAACCAAATACCAGGGAGCAGCCTTTTAAATGTGAGAAACAGATACCTGGTGCTGGAAGGCTGAAAAAATGAGGAAGAGGCTTCACCAGCAGGAAGGTATAGATAAGTCTGAAGTGATTCCATGGAGCATTCAACCAAGGATCTCTGGTCCCAGCCACAAATATGTCCAGCCTGTGGTTAAACCTGAATGCCAGAGTCTACATCTGGCATCCCCTGCTTGCAACAGGGGTCCCCAAACTCAGGATGGAGAAACCATCCCCTAGGATCCAGACGCTGAGAAAGCCCACCTGCTAGTTTCCCATGCCTTGGATGTGCACAGCAGCAGGAGCCAGAACATGATATTCTGTACCCTCAGGTTGGCTTCTTGAAGAAACACGCAACCTCTGGTGCCTTCTTAATGATTGATGCAGGCCATGGTCAAGGTGTTCAACGGAACCCTCACTGGATACACCACCAGCTTGGGGGTCCATCGCTGGAAGGTTGGATAGCCAAAATTCCCTGAGAACTAGGTCCCCTGGATAGTGAATTTCCCCAGCCTGTCGGAATCAATTGACCACGCCTGGAAGAGACTGGTCCCGGTCGACAGGTGCAAGGGTTGATCCAGAGATGGATGACTTTTCCCACAAAGCCAGAATGCTCAGTGGCAGCGGTCTCAAAAGAAACTGGGTGTACAGTACTACTTCAAACAAGGCCACCATCAGGCGAATGGAGGGACGACTTATGGATCACAGGGTCCACACATGAGCTTGAGAGATCCAGAGAAGCCTCTCCATATCAATTAGTCCATCATCTGAGGACACCAGCCCAAAAGAAAAAAAAAAAAAAAAACTGATTGCTGGGAGAAAAGGGGTATATGTGGGTTCACAGCACTGATAGTTAATTGGACACTGGCAAAACCTAAGAGTGTCTGCATATAACCCAGTCGATGAATCAGCCTGCGTCGTGTACTGCACAATTAGAAATGTGGATTTCCTATTCCTTTTGATAGAGATTTTGTGAGCACTATATTTTGTATCAGTTTATGCATCATGTGAAATACGTTTACGTGCCGTGTATCTATGTTATGAGAATTTGGGAAGTTTTCAAATGGCGGTTTATTCCACAGTCTTATTTTTGTATCAGTCTTTTGATTTTAGTCAGTTGTGGTTGGAACACATTTGGGTAGCTCAATGTTTATCTTGTACACATCCTACAGTATGTGTACAAGATAAAAGATGCGTCACAGTATGATGCACATCATACTCTAGAATTTCTTTGACAATGATTTCCCACAACAAGTCTAATCAGATTATTAAAGATAAGGTTTACGAAAATAGACATTTGCAGGTTAACTTTAAGGGCCACTTCACACCTGCAGCCATGTTATGCACAGATAACACTTGCCCGATGCCATGCATTGGTAGGGGAGGTCCGTTGCATTGTTACAGTGGATAGCACAGTTCACTTTAGGGGTGTGGAAATAGTTTAAAACAAAAAAAAACAACTACTTGTTCAAGTGCTTAAGTGGGGGCCCCAATCTAATTGTTCCTCATGACAACTTGCCATGATACAAGAAATAACTTTAAACTAAACCGTATTTAACCACGATAAGAAGTGCTTCTCATTGCTCAGCGCCGTCACCAGACCGCACTAACCAACAAATGCTTGCAATTTGCGAGCGAAATTCAAATTCCATAGCGCAGGGCTGTGCTGATGGCAGTATGGGGTACAGATAGTACACCCGTACTGGCGGAGGGGAAGGACCGTTCGCCGAAAGGCAAGTATAGCGGAGGGGGCCAGATTTGAGCAGGTAATTCCATTTTCACAAAATTACTTGGAAAAGTGAACTTACCCTTTAATGCACATTGTGCGTGTTAGAGAGCGCTGCTGCCTGGCTACCACAAATGGCACACAGCGAAATAGGGGGCAGCACACACAAAATGTCCTACGCATGTGTTTATTCATATGCATATGGCAGGGGCAGTGGGGTTGGTTTTCAGTTTTTTATCCAACCAGGCCGCTACAAGTAATCTGGGGGTCTACATCACTTGTACAAAACGAGTGACGGCTTCCCTCTACATTTAGCCCCGCTTGCCCAAAGCAGGGCTAAATGTAGGGGGGAAAACTGCCTGCCCGACACAGAGGTAGGAGTCCTGCATCACTGCTACTTTATTTTTTATAACTTTATGGAAATATCACGAAATAACATTTCATGTACCTGATGCAAGCGGTGTAAAGCACTGACGCGTTGCACTAGAGGTAAACATGCAGATATGCTAAGTTTTTACAAAACATACCCCAACACACAGGCATGTCATAAGCAAGGCACAAAGGAGTTCTACCGCCTACATCACTGTCATGGAACAGGTATGCAAGGCAGGTTAGATCTATCAGACTGCAAGCTTGTTCCATGTAAAGCAATGCACAAAATGGGAAAAAAAAATAAAAAAAAAAAATCAGCAACTACACTGTTCTGTTTTTACAAGTCCACTATTTAGCTATATTAGGATGCAGAATTTAGTCACTGTGGGACCATATCATACGTTGACTGGGATTGTGGCTACAAAAAAAGAAAACCCACACGTTGTTGTATGTACTGCTTCTTACGCAAGGTTTATTTGATCTGCATCTGGGTTCAAGAATTTTAAGCAGGAGTGTGATGGGTAGCAAGGAGAGCCCAGATTTTCAAAGGAGTATTTACTGATGGATGTCACTGAGGAAGTTTCAACTATACCAAAAACTTGACTCCTGAAGTGACTTCTAAACAAAAACTCTACAAGTATAGATATGTAGCTGTGAGGTAGACATTTTGCCTGATGTGGGTGCTTGTGTTAAATCACCCAATTCAGACAAAAAGTTGAAAACCATGAAGGAGCCAGAAGGGAAAGTGACAGGTTAGAGAAAATTATTAGAGGATTTTAAAGTCGGGACTAGACAAATTGTATTCACCATGGTGCTGAAAAAAGCTCCTAGATGACCAGCTATTTCAGGATTTTTTTTTAATGTGGTTTCATTGACTGCAGTTTGCCAACCACCATGAAATAGCACGTGGGGGAAAATTTCCCAATTGCAGTTCCCATAGCCACCACTAGATGGCAACTAGAAGAAACAGAAGTGCCTCAAATCATTTAACACTCCAAAAAACAATGAATCGCCACAGGCCAAAACGCTATAAACAGAGCCATGTCACCAAGATTTTTTACACAATTGCTTAAGTGCCATGGAAATAAAAAACCTCACAAGGAATATCTATTGGGGGTGCCAGATTACAATAAAGATAAGTGAAGAAAAAAAATAGAACACAACGGTGTCAATTCACAAAGCTTTCTTTTTGCAGATTTTGTCCGTTAACCACTTGCTGAACGGTGTGTTAAACCCCCTTCCTGCCCAGGGCATTTCAGTATTCAGCACTGAGATTGAAAAGAAAAAAAAGCTCCCTGTCAATGAACAGGGCGGAGCCTGCCATGATGTCACAGCCAGCTCCGCCCAGTTATTGTTTAACCACTTGCCATCCGGGGCATTCTCCTGCTACTTGCGCACACATGATAAAATATGAATTTTTGGCAAGAAAACAGCTTCAGACCACCAACAATGATATATTTTCTGAAAGCTGAGGCCCTGTAGAATAAAAAAAAAATGATAGGTGCAATTTTTTACATCGCACGGTTTTTGCGCAAATGTTTATCAAACCCGTATTTTTAGGAAAAAAATAAACATTTAGTGCACAGAAACATAATACGCAATTTTTGGGTAAAATATGAAAGACGGGATCACGTCGGGTAAATAGATACCAAACATGTCAAGCCTTAAAATTGCGTTCGCCCGTGAAGCCGCAAAAAAAAAAGTAAATACCCAAAATTTCCTATAGGGAACATTTTAAACGCTTTTATTGCTCATCAGTTTAGTGCTAAGTCATTGACAGCGCTAGAATTCTTGCTCTCGCTCAGACGTTCGGGGCGATATGCAACATGTGTAGCGTAATTGCTGTTCTCGCTGCTGCAGCAGCCGTGTTCTTGTTTTAACCATGGTGTTTCACCCCCTTCCTGGCCAGGCCATTTTTCAGTATTCAGCGCTGCGGTACTTTGCTGACATTTATTCAGTCATGCAACGCTGTACTGAAATTAATTTTATACCATTTTTGGGGATAGATGGAGCTTGGTGGTATTAAAATCATGGGTATGAAATGTTTTCACTAATTTGCTATAAAACATTATATCAGTACCAAATTTTTGGGTAAAACATATGAGATCACGTTAGGTAAAGAGACAGCAAACGTGTTAACCTTTAAAATTGCATGCACCTGCGAAATTGGAAAAACGACCATGCCTAAAATTGGCCACAGGCAACGCTTTAAAAGCTTTTACCGCTCATCAGTTTTGTGTTATCAGTGATTGATGGCTGTATAATTATTGCCCATACTCCCATGTTCGTGGCAATATGCAATAGTTTTTGCACATGGGCACACCTGATACGTATTAACGCTCATGTGCATGTACACTGGGCCTAAATTTTCTTGGGTGTTTTTTTTTTTTAAACGTTTGTTTGTTTTACACTTAACTTTAATTCCAAAATACAATACCATACAGGTCCTCTTTATGGAGACATCAGGGGTCAACAAGACCCGTCACCTTGGGACACCCCAAAAAAGCTCTGGTTAAAGCAGCCAGAGAGACGACAGCTGTAGGTGGAAGTGATGCAATACACATCTCTTCTGCCTCCAGAGAGAGGATATCAGAAAGGAGAAGGCTGATCTCGCCTCTGTTCTCACTGCTAGTAGCCGCTGTGCCAGCCCCGAGCACGCAGGGGAGAGAGCAGAGCGAGGAATAACCGGCAGTGGAGGGAGGGGGCACACACTGTGGTCATGCAAGCGATCGACTATAGAGTCGTCCGAACACTTGTATGTAACAGCCGGTACCAGAAGTTTACATACACAGCAGGGTTCTGCTCAAGGGCGCGCACAAAAAAGAAAAAAAAAAAAATCATGCACACATACGTTCACCCTCTGGGAAGAGGTTGCTGTCCGCACGTGTATTTACAATGGGCAAGTGATTAAATAGATATCACATGCTATTTAGGTTTGTTCAATTTATTTAAGTGGTAACATCACCAATAAACGGCTGTTTGGCGAAGTGATATTATCGTATGCATGTATGTACATATACATACCGCAAGGTAAAAATTACTCTTCAGTTGCCAAAATAACAGTGAACACGACGCTTCAGTCCAAAGCCTTAACGCCCATGCTAAATAATGATTAGGACTTTTGTGAATACCATGTTATCAAACAAAAAAATGAGGCAGGCTAAACTAGAAAGATCAAACATTTCTCTTTGTGAATTGACCCCAATTGTGCATTAAAGGGTAACTAATTATATTTCCCAAATTATTTGGGAAAATTTAATCCTCCGCTCAAATCTGGCCATCGCTCCCCCCTATACTTGCCTTTCGGTGAACGGTCGTCCCCCCCCGGGAACAAAGGTACTCTCTACAGACCATGCTGCCATCTAGCAAAGCCCTGTGCTGTGGATTTTGAACGCAAATTGCAAGCACGCGCTGTCAGGTGACCGCACTGACCAACAAGCACCACTTAAGCATGGTTAAATACGGTTTTGGTTAAAATCATTTTTTTGGATTACAAGGGACAAGTAGATTGGGTTCCCGCTTTAGTCCTTGAACAAGTTTTTTTTAAATAAATTTCCACACCCCTGTGTATGTATTCTAACTTCCTGTCTGGTGGTAACCGATTTTTTTTTTTTTTACAATTAAGCAAGGATATCCATGTATTCTCATTTAACGTCAGAACTAGGACATCACAAGATGCAAAAACAATATATAGAGATTCTTGCTTAATCGCAAAAATCGAGGGTCTGTTTTACTGCTATATTTACACAACCATTAGTGGATTAGTCTAAATATAAATCAGTAAAATACTAAAATCAATGACCAGCTCTAGTTTGCTGGCTCCTGACTAAGATGACTACAAGATTTGTCCCGGCATGTTTTCAGCAAAAAAAAGGAACATATTTCCGGAGCTTTAATACTTTTCAACGTTTGCCTCTAGCAATCTGTACACAGGCTTAGATAAGAACTCCAGGCATATGAAATCTAAACTCTTGCAGTGGGGCTACCACAATGCAAGGAGCTAAAAACAAAGACACTCACTTGAACCTTAGACATGCCTGGCTGCTAGACTGAGCGCTGCATTCTCCCACCCCCCCCCCTCCACTGTGGTGATAAGAATGTCCCTCTGCATCATCCCCCACCAGTGAAGGGGTGGAGAGCCTAACAGCCAGCCAGGTCCACGTTTCGGGTGAGTAATCTTTATTTTGGCTCCCTAGACAAAACAAGCACTTAACCCTTGCAGTGTAGGGTGGTAGGCCACTGCAAGGGTTAAGATATCATATGCCCTGAGATCTTCACGTTTCTAGGGAAGAAAAAGTTTATTAAAAAAAACAACCCACTTACTGTCATCTCCAACTGGGCCTGCAGAACATTGTGCTGGAGGATCACGAGCCAAATCATTCAGTTCCTAAGGAAACAAAAAAAAAAAGGCCTAGTTTAATGAAAGCAATAACAGAACTTTGCCCACCTAATGAGACAAAGATTTACACTATAAAAATGTGCCTATTCCAGAACGGGAAAGATTAAAGGATATTGTCAGTTAAAGGAGATATGAATGGAGAACAGCTTACGGGAGAATATGAAGGAGAGGGCTGAGGGTATGACAATGGGCAGCATGTGCAGAACATGAATGAGGATATGGCAGTGAACAGTGTGCACGCGAGGCATTTAGAATAAAAAAGGTGAGCAGGAGAGGCGTGCAAAGGGCACGATAGCAGGCATTATGTGCAGGCGAGTGGACAGGATATGGCAGTGAACAGTGTACAAGCAGGAGGAGAGTGGTGGGCATGAATGCTGGCAGCTATGCAGGAAATGACGAGGGTATGCATTGCTGCTGCCAGCCGTCATAATGTATGGTAGTGGGCAGAGTATGCATGAAAGGAGGAGATCTGGGAGGTGATGTGTCATTTAAAGGTGGC